TTTCTAATGATTTTCGACTGGCCATTTCGTCCACACCTCGGAGTGAAAGCACCTGATAATGGAATGATTTTACGGTCAGTTTTCTTGGAGGCTTTCTCAAAGTCATTGAACTGGAGTTAGATATTTGATAAGTACCGATCTGTTCCATGAAGACCCATAGATATTTATTTGATCAGCACACCAATTATTATTATTGTTTCCTCTAGTTCTAAGAGGAACATAAGAGTTCAGCTGCACGTCTTCACTGCGTTCTGCTACCTGCCTTAACTCCTTCATGTCATCCTCGCACTGATGACCAACTCATCGCACTGACTTCACGTTGAAGTTAAAAATCCGCATCTAAGTTTTCATGCTGAGTGCTGTTGACCTCCATACAGACTTAAGAGTAATGAAAACTTGCCTTGCTTTCCCGATTCCCGCCTTCATATCGTCATCAGTTCCGTCCACCTGTAGTTGAGATGATGCTTCGCGGGTAGGTGAAGGAATTTTACTCATTCAGATTTCTCGCATTCATGCTGATTGTTGTCTGTCGTTGGTACTGTTGCTATCAGCTAGAAATCTTCATCACCTCTGTCTTATCTGTGTTCACCTGAAGTTCTATCTTCTGTAGGTGCTTCATTTGCCAACTTTCTGCTTTTCGCTCGCATATCTTTCAGTTCTTGGGAAATCATATATATATATATATACATCCAGTTACTCCAGGTTGTTTTTGTGTGGGTCCATTTCATGCCTGTTTCTCGCTCCCCGTCACTGTCTGTCACATTATACAGTCTTCCACCCCCAATCAGGAAAAGCACCCAGCTTTTATTACTCCTGACGTCACTTCGAAGGATTCCGTGAGTTTCCCACTGTGGATTACTTGGCATGCAGCATTGTCATTAAACTGTTGTATGAGATATATAATTGTTTCCGGCACCCCATAATGGTGATGTAGTTGAGAAATCATCTCTCGATCGCATTGGTATTAATGAAGTGTTCAAAAGGTGGAAATGGCATTTTGTTGAGAATTTTTTCTCTCATGTGAGTTATCTGTGGAAGGCAATTTATGCTGAATCGCAATGATAGAGAGTTGACCAACGAACTGTTTCGTTTACTCGAGCTGGTCATCATCACAATTGTGTTTATTTTGCTACCAAAGTTCTGAAGTGTTGCTGTTTCAAGTACACTAGGCCGCTTTTTAGCATACATATATGTATATATATTTGTACACTGACATTTTTTTATTGTGCCTATGAATATGAGGGATGTTGCCTTGATATGGTCCATTGCGCGTTTTCATTTAAGTGAACGTGAACAAATTGCATTCATTTCGTATCCTTTCAACATTGGTTGCACGTTGCCTATCTTCAACAATTAGAAAAACCAAGTATCCATGTTTTCAATAAACAAATAATGTGAGATGTTAAAATGTAAACAAAACACAGTCAACAAACATTATCACTCGCATTTACAAAGTCGATTTTTGGAGAGAATGATCAACAATTTATCGTTTTCAAAAAATAGAAGAGCTTTGATGGTGAAGTCGGAAACTCATTTTTGTTTTGTCAGCGCTGTGTTTATGAATGGGAAGGATGTCACATTGATATAATACATTGTCGGTCTTCAATGAAGTGGGCGTGTGCAAATTGTATTCATTGCAGATTCTTTCAACATTAGTTTCACGTCACCTCCTTTCAAAACAATAAAAAAAACATCCACGTCTCCAATACACAAGTAGTATGAGATGTGAAAATGTATACAGAACACAGTAAACAAATATATGACGCTTATTTCATTGAGATGTTTTGCAGATGATGCACAACTATTAATTATTTTCAAAATTGAAGAGCATTGAAGCTGAAGTCGTAAACGCATTTGTATTTTTTCAGTATTGTATTTATGAATATGAAGGATGTCGCTTCGATCTATTTCACTGTCAGTCAATCAATTGTTTCACTGTATTATCTGTTTGTATCAGAGGTGCTCTCAGCTCTGTTGAAAATTATCTCGTAGAAATATTGTCATAGAAAAACTAGATTTCTATTGTCGTTGGATTCAGAAAAGTGACAAAAGCTTAGCGCTGAAGGAAATAATAGTAAACATTCATAGCTCATTTCTACTTGTGAAGAATGATAAACTAACAGAATAATCATCCTGGACATTTTATTGTGGAGATTCATACAAGGCTGAAGTCATGATGGATTTTCAGTGGTTTAGAGTATAAAAGTATAAAAATTGAAAATTTTTTATTTTACAATAAGTCTCCAATACGAAAGTAATTTAGATAAGAGACATAAAAACATTTCTGCTCCATAAGATAATCCAGTCATCCCCACAATTGTAATAACATGCAGTCAGAATGAATTAGGGAGACAAAATACGACATTGAACTCTGAAGGACTGGTCTTCATTGACCGTGTGTTTACTGAGTTTTCGTTGTAATATTATCAAAAATTTCAGTGATTATTCGTTATTGTATTACAACTACGAATCTGATAGTGTGTTGGTGTATCAGCACGTTGTATTGTTCCACAATTCACCAATGTTTTTAAGTACTATTCATTTACAAAATCTTCAACACAAAAACGTATCGATAGTGTTAAATGCTACGCTTCAGTGATAAACACTATAGCCATTTATTGTTGCACCAATCCATAGAAATTCAACCGTTACGGATTTGTGTAAATGAAGTATTTAAAAAGTGAAAATATCATTTTGTTGAGAATTTCATCTCTGACCTAAGTTTTATATAGGTAAAAAGTTTTATCCTCAGTCGTAATGATAGACAGTTGGTCAATGGAACGTTTCGCTCATTCTAGCTCAACATCATCAAAATTGTTTTACTTTGATACCAAAGTTCTGAAGTGTTGCTGTTTCAAGTACACTAGGCCGCTTTTTATTAGAATATATATATTCGTATAATGACATTTTGTCATATCATGACTGAGAATGTGAAGTTCTTAGAACATGCAGAAATCGACGTCACATCCCACTGTATTAAACAATTTAAATGTACTTGTGGACACACACATTGGAAAGACGCTAAAATTAAAGGCTTCAGAGCGTATTCCTTAATGTCTTTGCCTCTGAAGGAAGCAAATTGAGTCTATAGAACCCGTTAATTGTGAGAACAAGTGACCTCCCTCCTCTATTATGAAACATATTGTAAAGACAGGACATAAAACTGATGTTTGGGTTGCGTCCTGAAATTCGTGGAAGCCTTAGAAATTAGGAAGTTTAAATCAACTTTACATCTTCCAAAAGTATTCATTATCACATTAAAATTTGTTTTGTTACCAGGGTAGATAAAGTTTCATCTCCATTCCTCGGTTGAGTTATCTGCATTGTTAATTTGACCTTCAATATACAATTTTAACTTGACCGAAGTTTATTTTCTCACCCCCCCCAACTGCATAATTGTCACACATCAATATGTATATCACTGACACATCCATGTGTGATTAGACTGTTCGATATGTGCTGTGAGAATCCTTTAAGCGATTCAGACAAATTACGTTTTCTTACTGCTCTGTGTAAACTGAGTTTTTGTTCTGAAACTTTCCACAACTGTGCTTTGGTTATACCTGTTTTTATCCAAGAAGAATTCATAGAACTACTGACTAGCTTATATAGACCTTTAATTCACTAGAAAGTTTTCTCTGCTTCGGCTGTCTAAAAGCTGCAAACTGTAGGCCATCAAATGAAGAGAACAACGCATCAAAGTTTAACTTTTAATTTGGTTCCGCAAGACGTGGTTACGAATTGAATTTTAACTTGGTGAAATTATTCAACTAAATTAAGATAGTAAAAACTTGGAATTCTTCTTAACTACTTTTGCAAGTTTAATATCGTTCACTAACATATATTTTGTGATGCAGGTGAACTATACGATGAAATGTTTCTGTTGTACTTGTTTTACTAAATGTATACTATAGATACTGCTTCGAAAAACGAACAGTATTTACCAATAGCGCTTACAAGTTCAATTAGTTCATTTCAGAAAACAATTTGGAACATCTTAGGTTATACTACCCATCATACTATTCACTACATTTGATTAAATAATTTTAATAGGTATGAAAAAGGATGGATGTCCGTGGAGTACGTTACGATATGATTGTAGACTTTTCTGTTAGATGCGTGAATTTAAATCGATTCATATTGAAATATAGATAACGTCCGAGTACAATCTAAAATACTGTCTACTTGCTTCACTCATAATCGTGCTGTATACTCTGGATTTTTGCAGGAACCTCTTATCCTCATCCGAAAGCTATTCTACAAGCGGTACACAGCTTCTGCCAGTAGACACAGCTCCAGCAGTGAGCACTCCTGTAGATTATACTAATAATTTGTAGTTGTGGACTTTAACTGTATATCCAAGTAACCGTTTACTTAATAGAACTTATTACTGTATTTTTTGTAATAGACTGTTACACTATCCTCTCATTAAATTGAATATCCATTGACATACTTGTTATGTTATTGAGCTCGCTGGGCAGTCCCCTACATACCCTATACTTGTAACAGCTGGACGCACAACTCACCACGCCTTTTAACCCAAAATACCTAGATTAAACCCTTCATGAGGTCTTAGTTGCACACCCGGAAGAAGTAGATATCTAGCTCTCTATAGTGCTTTTAAGTAATGAAATCTACTATATTTTCACTAGAATGACTACAAATTAGAAATATCCTAATAAATTCAAGGTTGCCTTTTTGTTGTTTGAAGGTTGTTTTCAAGTTGCTTCACGTGTAAAAGCTTAATATTTTTATCTATCCATCAGCGATAATTATTTTGTGCATTTCATTTTATCAAAAACATGACTGTATTTATTTACAGAGAATCGTTGAAGCTGTCACGAGAGGTAGTCAATTCAAAGGGAAAAACATCCTCGAAACCAATCACTTTGTTTGTAAACAATAATAATAAAGAGTATATAAGGAAATCTGTTCTTGGTTAAAACTTCAGTCACAATGAATTTCTACAAAGAAGCACTATTACTTATCTGCATTGCATGCTTGATTCATGAGTACGATTGTGGTAAGTTAAAAATGTTGAATTAAATTATACTTTAATGTGTTTAATATGACGGATCTGTGAACTCAGTACTGTTGAGAAGACTTGAATATTTTTACAATCAGGGTGAATACCAATGTTAAAATAGCTTTACTGAGGGCAGCCACATTTCTTTTGTCTGTGTAAATCAGTAGAAATATGCCAATAAGATGAGACGGCCTCATCTATATATAATTTCTGAAATAGGAATCCCACCAACACATCAAATATGTATTAGACGACAGACTCGAGAAATTTCAGATAAGCAAATCTGTATGATTCATTGTGAGAATCGAAGTCTTTTATGTGAAAAAACATAATTAAGCGTGAAGTTAATCCCTTGCAATAAAATCCCTGTGTTAACCGAACGTTAGTCGGTGCGGTACTCGAATGTTTTCAGAAAATAATGAATCGTTCAGTGGCACCTCACACAAAAACTACAACATTAGGAGAGAATTGTGAATACACACACAGATATTTTATACTTATGCTAAACACATTATACTATTAAACAGTGGTTTTTTTCTAACATCAAATGTATATCAACAGGCTGTAAGTTTGCCATTTGTTTTCGACTATTCATAGTACATTGTTACATTTGTCACAAAATTGCATTGGCTGTTAATTACGGTGCTTATTACTGTTTTCTTTTTTATATTATTTCACGTTTCAAATTTACGTCAATACACTCCGCTAATCATTTCATCATTTGATTTCAAACGTAAATGAACAGCTTGTAAGTATATCGGTAATATTTTTATACACAACTGATAACTTTGTAATGAAAAACGTAAGTTGAGCGTGGCACTTTCAACAATAATAGTTGCTTCAATGTCGGAATGCAGTTGGATAACGTCATTTTACTAAACATGCAAGCGCATAGGATGACAATTCTGATGTAATATATTGTTTCTGATCCAGTATACCATTGCGAGCTTTATAGACGATAAAGTCGCATTTCTGAAAGTATCTAGGTTGCATAACATACATAATTCATAATCATGTTGATGAACACTTCACCAGAGTTCATGTGCTTCGCAAGGACATTGATGGTTAATGCAGACTCGTTGTCTGAACCAGTCATAGCATCATTTTTTCCGAGATATTTTTATATAATTTCGTGCTGTTTGAGTGTGGTTTTTTCTTGCTCATTTGCAGTAGAAATACAATTTATATGATCCCAATACTTGCACATTTCCGCTGCAATTCATATTTTTTTTTAAAATAAACTTTATGCACGTTTTCGTCTGGGTCATACTCCCTGAGATCATTTATTATTACAATTTTAGTCAACAGCACGTTTCTTTTGATGATATCACCAAGTCTCCAATACAGGTGTATTCCACTAATTCGAATAACGTTTCACTTTATCAGAATGTCCCATAGTTTCATACACTGTTTACATCAGCCACTGGTGTTTGGTGGAACTTTCATAGTATAGTAGAGAATTGAAAAAACGATTCGTCAATTCTGTCACAAGAAAGTGATATTTCTCATACTTATCATTTTTTAAAGTCACTGTCACAAAAATGAAGATAGATCTTGTAATCATACTTATATTCCCATAAGCACAGAAACTCTTCCTTTATCAGGATGTCAGTGTGTCACAGTTTCGATAATTTACATTGTTTCCGAATAAATCGTGTTGACTATTTACCAGAGTGCGCTATATAGCGTAAACTGTGACATGAAAAACTGGGTAGTAGATGAAACTTACTCCGCTGGTTTTAGAATGTATCCCAGATTATTATCACTTGAATGATTTCATAAAATATAACGTTACAGAAATAAAAAGCGCTCATTCCAAAATGAATTTTGTTGTGAGTTTGAGCAAAACGCCTAGATAACTTATAATTCACGATCTTTTGTTATAGATGACTGACAAATGAGGACACCGTTGACGCGTATCAGCGCCAAAAGAGTTAACAACAATAGATTGTGACTTGTGGCTAACTTTTCACCGACTGATTTATTGAGAAGTGCTTCACCTTAGAGGATTTTATATATTCAGAGGAAAGATAAAATTATACAGGTAATAACACTCTGAAAACTTCTGAATATACTGCAAAAGACCGGCATATATATTTGTTAATTGAACACTAAAAACCTGAACATCAACTGTGTTGTTCACCGTTCGGTATACTCCCGACAGAGGAAACAATCATATCATGTCTGCCTCAATACTGATATTGTATAAATTTCTATTCTGAATGAAATACCCTTCATGCCAAAGGATTAGTTATAAACACTTATAGGAACATTATTCCACTTGTGTAGCAAAACAGACAGACACACAACCAAAGATCTTTCAACCTGCATGCTTATCATAACATTCGGAAAATAATGCATAATTATGACATATTGTAGAAACATTTAAAAAGCCGTTGATTAATGACCATCACATTTACTTAGACAGTATACTTGATGCGCAGAATCATATAAAATACACACATATAGAATTCTATAGCGACCCCATTATCTTTCCAACAGCAGTGTGATAAAACTGTTTAATATTCTTTCACAATTGGTAAAACGTATTCCGATAAAGTCTCACAATGTTATATGGTAATATTTACTGATGACATTTCGAGAAAAATCTCTTTCTCATAATGATCAATGGAATGGAATTATACTCTGCCACAGTGCACAAGCTTTACTTTTATATCAACGTTATTATGCTTCTATTCGAAAACCTGTTAAATGAATAATAGCCCTTAGTGAATTCTGCATTTCATTTCAGCGTGTCAATCTTCTACACCCGGTGTTCCAATGAAAGAGGGTAAGCATCTTAAGTAAAGTTGAATGTATTTATAACATGTAATATTCAGCAGGGAAGCCTGGAAACTTTTGTAGGGAGCACACTCTTAGTGTTTTTCAGTAGGCTGATAATCGTTATCCAGTCATATGGTTTTTGCTTCAATGAGCATAATCATACTCGATGAACAACCGATATTACGTGATTGTGTATTGTGAATAATAATAATAATTCAGTCAACTTTTTCAATGAAAAACAGTATCTAAGACGAAATGCGCACCCTGGTTTCTACTGCTAATCACCATCCACCAATTAAAATGAAAACAGTATCATTTGTGAACATTTTGCGGTTTTTTTGACAAATTTCAACTTAACGTGAAAAATTCGTTTTACAAACTGCATGAATAAATATATATATATATATATATATATATGTATATATAAAATGAGAAATTCACCAGTGATCAGCAGTGAATTTTTTGAAATACAAATCTTGCACTTTCTTAACACGTTATTTTTAAATCATTTACCGGAAATTTCATTGGAAGGCCTGAAATACGTCTTTTCATATTTGACCATTACCAATTCTGATAATTACCAACCTGTTTGAACGGTAGTCAATAAAATAAATAACTTTGTATAGATTGACATGATTGTCACTTGCAAAGGAATTTAAAGTCAATCTAGAAGTCTAGAAAACTGACCCCCACGGAAAACTCTGAAATGCACACCTTAATAGTAGCGTCGAAACATCGACTTGAATTACTCATTCTTTCATCACGACTGACGTGTTCTTTGGTAAACACAATAGGATTTCATATTATCCTTCAAATAATGTGAAGGCTTGCAGAACGACACCAGTATTCTACTATATTTAGAATATGTTAGTAGTGTTTTTGTTCAGATGCATTTAAAGGAAGTTTATAGAGAGTATATTTTTCAAATAAGAACTGGATAGCTCACTAAAGCATGACCGGATATGAACTTCACTCCGAATTCGGTCAAACTGTATAAAAGTGTCAGATGAGATTTTCCCCCAAAACAGTTAAACAACCAAAAATCATGCTTTTATATCTTCGCTGTTCAGGTGTGATCGCTTGATAACAGCCCAGAGAGACACTTCAGAATGCTCAGTACACATCTGAATCCCTGTTGATAAAGGAAACGAAACTGTTGTTATCATGTAAATACGCATTGTTTGAAATGTAGTATGTAACACCAATATGTCTGCCGACTTTACAAATAAATATGCGGTTAATGATACATGGTTGCAGTAGTTTTTCAAGCCAACCTTATGAGAAATGCTTGCCTAAATACATCTATAGCAGCAATTAAATTTCCACCAAGTTGCCTTATTACTGGTTCATTATGTGTTAAACATATTGTCAGCCAACTTGAGGTTTATAGGAAATAAGACTTTAGGCGATTTTATATATGCCATTTCCCCTATGATACGATTCACTAGTAATTTATCTACTGAACTGCAATCAAATATTTCCCTTTCATCAAACCCCTTTGGAAGTGGTATTATGTTTGCAATCGCACGTTTTTATGGCAGTATGTCACCACTAAGTTGTTGGGATGATACAAATTCCCTGGTGTAATTCACAGAGATTTTAATTTTAGGAGTTTTCGAAGTTGTCATTTAGCAATGAATATTTTTCTTTCGTTTTTCTGTGACCTTGTTTTTCACTGATTACCTTTCATAATGTTTTCACTATATATGTTTAGAATATACGGGTATGTTTCAAAAATTGCGTTTGGTTAACTTGAACTAAGTAATATAGTTTTCGAAGTTAACCGAAATAAAACCTCTGTGTATTTAGGCTAGCGTGTCAGTTTGTTTGCAAAAATGCATATATAAAATACGCGAGCGTGGTTATATTGACCGTAAGCCAAATTATTTGTGCCCCCTCATTTCGACATTTAACATGTCGGCAGAAATAACTGCAGAGATTTTATATAATGGACAGAAATAAATCATTGAATCTTGGTACTATGATTATCGTTACTGTAGTGGATAACTGCATTCACATTATCTGTGCTGTCTCGTCATCAAGATGTTCAAGGCATGTTTTCTAGTGACCGCGAAAATTCCACAGTGAGTGACTGACGTGAATCTACTCGTTACTGATCCACCATAGTGTCAGGCTTGAGCAGTTTCTATATTGTGTACATTTTTCTTCTCACTAACTATACGGGATTCTAACTTAGTCACACCTCGTTTGTTACCATCGCTTTGGAAATGTTTGCACGAACAGTAATCTTTCACCTTGTATTATTTTACCGTGGTATATATTAAAAATTGATTTTCCATAAATTGCAGGGTAGTGACATATGTGAAGCGACTAACATTCATATGCACAGAAGATGCTAGTTTTAATCTAAACTGCAGAAAGATTCATTCCTGCTAACATTGTGAAACGAAAACGTATTTCATGTACAGAATCAAGATTCACAGGCCTAGTAACAAAGTTTTATTAGCGTTATCGTTTATACAGATACCATATTTCTTGATAACGAGATAATTCATGGCTGACTTTCTTCAATACCCTAATGAAGTTTATTGGTATCATTTAACTGTTCAGCACTGCATCATTTAAATGTTCACTGAGTAAAGCCTACAAGAAGTCATAGTAAATTCTGCCAACACTGGCTATAAATTTTACTTGAAGAGGAAACTATGTCTCGAACCAAGTAAAGTTTACCTCTGTGAACAAACACTCCTCTTCTAATCAACGATTTAATTTGAGGCGATTTGCAAACAGTTGTAATTCAAATAAATTTTACGATCAACCCTGTAAGAGAAAAAGTTGCTATGCTTGACGAGGCAGGCATTTCTCAGGAATAACTCTTATTTGATTGAAGGATTAAATTAAATAAATACTCTACTTACTTCAATCATTATGATTAATGACACGATTATTTTTTTCCAATTTTGTTTCATTTCTGATTTAATAAAGAGATTTTAGACTGTGAGTATGATCCAGATATTGTGAAACTTTCACACCATATTATTATTGCTCCCTTGCGTTCCTAGTGGAACATAGGGCTTTAACTGCACGTCTCCATTTGCTTCTGTCTTCTGCTGTACTTTTCACCTGCATCCATGGTAGTCCATACTCTTTCAATTCCTCTTCACACGATCTCCTCCATGTCACCCTTGCACTGACGTCCCACTCGCCGCTTCCCTATCGGCCTGGTTCCACTCGAGCAATGGCTCGACGCGCGATGACACCCAGTGGTCTCCTCAGCGAGTATCCAATACAACTCCACTTTCTCCTGCATATCTGTTCAGTGATTGGTCCTTGCTTTGCTTGTTCCCATAATTCCTTGTTGATGATTCTTTTCGGCCATCTGCACTTCAGTATAGATCTAGCGAAGACAGTTGTTGATAAGGATCGGCAACAGGCTGTTGGAAATATTTTTTGTTACCCTCCAAGTTTCTGATCCGTACAGAAGAACTGATTTTACGTTTGTATTGAAAATTCAACCGAATTTCGTTGTTGATGCTGAGTGACGAAGATTTCCAGATTTATTTCAGGTTGATGAATTTGTTTCTCGCCATTCCCGATTCTCGCTCGATTTGACATCCTCGTCCGTTCCAACTGCCTGTATTTGAGACAATGCTCCCTAGATAAGTGAATGAAGTAACCTCTTTCACACCATAAATGCTTGCATTTTTAGCTAAATTGTTAAGCTGCTGTTAATCAGTCAACATGAAGTAATTTATTAGTATTCTGACTTTTAAATGTCACAGATAATGACTTCTTTGTTTTTCCTCAAATTTACATTATGCTAATGACCACTTATAGAAGAAGGCGAGATCACGCATAATTCTATCGTTGTAATGTGTTGGGTCCTACTTTGATTTGAAACACAGTGGCTGATGTAAAGTCATTGTGAATTACACCACCAATATTTCTCTAAATGCATCTTTTGTTGTTAAGGAGAAATTAAATTCTGATATTTCCCCGAAAGACTTTATTAATAAATATACTTTGATCTTGCTTTACCAGTTCTGCTTAATACCTCAGGTAAAATCCTACTCATTTTTGCTTTGACAATCCTCTTACGAATTCGGTTTTCAGTAGACGGTGCTAGAAGTGAGTGCTGTTGGAATAATTTGAAAACTTTGCACCGTAAGCACATGAACTTTCAACAAATGTGCAAGCTAGTTTACGATTTATCAGTGCGAAATCAAAACACTCGTTAAAATTTCTACTCTGTTATTTATATTACCCGTGTAGTGGATACATGACGGACAATAGGTAGTCGTGTCTATAGTGATATTTTTATTTTTCTACCCTCGAGTTCAGAGTGCAAAATAGGTCTTCAGCATTCCATTTTCACTTTGTCTTATTCGATGACTACTGATCGTGATCTCTCATCTCTTCCTAGCGTGACCTACTCCATGACACTCTTTAAACAAAATCAACTGGTCGTTTCTCAGTCCAGTCCCACTCGAGCAGCAGCCTAGTGCTCGATGTCATTCATCAGTGTATCTCTGACTCCTCCACACTTTCCTCTGCATGTTTGCTGAGCGACAGGGTCTTGCTCGGCTTGTTCTAGCAGTCTATTGTCACTACATCCTGCTGTTTATTTGATCTTCAATATGGAGCAAAAAAGACTGCTGTTCATAAGAGTCTCCAACCTGTCGAAAATGCTTTTCGTGACGTATTGAATTCCACATTTATGCTAAAAATCCGAATTATGTTGTTTGTGCCTTATGCAGATGGTGTGACCCACCTTACCGATTCCGCTTTCGATATTTTCATCTGTTCCGCTTATGGTTGGAACGATGTTTCCAAGATGAAAGCAGGCGTCAGTGTCCACAGTGATATCAGGTTACAAATTAAGTCGACAAATAATAGAAACAGTAACTGAGAGATAATGAAGACCTGAACGATGTTTAATTGTTTTTTCCTAAAGTATGCAGATGGCAGTTTTCAGAAACTTTGCAATCTGTGCAAGCTTCCCCATGAAGGGGTTATTGTATAGATATCTTTTCAGTCTAAAACTTA